AATCGGTCCCTGGGCCCCCCCCCACTGTCGATGCGCACAAGTGGTGTCTGCTGCGTCCAGCCGTGGCGGCGAGGAGACTTCCTGACGGCGAACTATCTGTGTGTATGTGAACTCGGCCTCCGCCGATTTCGTCTGGCCCGAACCTGGGCAGGGGCTGGCATCCTCTCTGCGTCCATCGCCTGGGCCGCCTCTCGGAAGCACGCCCAAATCCTGCACCACCCAAACAACTCGCGGCGCTGCGCCGCGCGAGGCCCGGTAACCTTCGCGCCCTTGTGCCCGCACCCTCGGAGACGGGCAACGCTCCGTATGCAGCCATGAGCCGTGTGAGGGGTGCGCCGAGCTGGAGGGTAGAACCGCTGCGCGCCCTTCTCTGACACAATATTAGTTTCTCCTCCACCCTCCATCTCCGCAGAAACGAAACCCAGAACTCCAGAGTAAGCGCCAAAGCTCAGGTTGACGAAAGACGTCTCTCCAGAACCCTTTTGCCCACCTGGGACCTCGGAGAACAAACCTCGAGCGTGGTGTTTATTTTCCGTCGACGTGGCGGGCCGCGGGATGGTCTTGGGGAGCGTTTTCTCGGTCGACCGCGGGACCCTGGAGAATGGCCTCCGAGGTTACGGAGTCTTTTTCGTGGGCGTCGTTGATCCACGAACGATCCGGGCGAGACGTCTGTGCCCCATCCGGAGCCTGGGGGGAAGACTTCGAAGTAGGTACTGGCATTCCGTGGACGTGGCGAGCCGACGAACGTCCTGGGCGAGGGTTGACTGTTCCGCCCTGGGGCGTCGGAAAATAAACCTCCAAGTCGGGGTATATTTCCGTGGGTGTGGCCGCGTCCCGGGGCTTCTGTTCCGCCTTGTAAGAACCTCTGGCGGCCTCCTGGGAGCCTTTTGGGGCATCTTGGGCCGTCTTGGGTGCCGCTTGGGCCGTCTTGGGGCCGTATGGGGCCGTCTTGGGCGGCTCCGGGGCTGTCCTCGGACCGCCTTGGGGCTCTGTTGGGTCGGCTTTGGCCCCTCTCATGAGAGCCACTTGGGCCGTCATGGGCACCTCAGGAGCCGTCCTGGGACCACCTTGGGGCCTCCTGGACCCTCTTGTGACGATCTTTAGAAACAATATTATCGTCTTGGGTGCATTGAAGACGAAACACACGGGAATTGCCAAAATGGACGGTTTCCTTCAGGACTTAAAAGACTTTTCCTCGTTCGGGCTCTCTCGGGGCTCTTCTTGGAGCCCACTTGGAGCAATTAGGGCGCCTCTTCGGCCGTCTGGAGGCTAGAGCGTCTTGGGCCGCTTGGGCCGTCTTGGGCGTCTGCGAGAGCTCTTGGACCATCTCGGAGGCCCTCTTGGACCGTCTTGGGGCGTCTCGGGGTCCTCTCTTGGAGTTCCGATAGGGTCTCGGAGTGCTCTTGGGCCTTCCTGGAAGCGCGCCGAAGCCAGCTGGGGCTCGCGAGGGCCCGCAGGGCCCGCAGGGGGCGCCGGAGGAACATATCCGACCCCCGCACATCTCGCACGCGCGGGGCCCTTCAATCTATTAGAGACTGGTGTGAACCTATGGATTGAATCCACGTCTTGCTGAACCTGGGATTCGCACACCGTGGGTGAACAGTTCGTCGAAGTTGAACAGCTCGGGCGTCCCTGGGGCCGTGTCGGGGGCATGTTGGGCCATCCTTCGAGCATGTCTAGGGGCGTCGAGAAGGCCCCTTGCGGTTTTGGGTCCTTCTGCGAGGCTGTCTTTGGCCTCTGGAGAGCCTCTCTGGGCGCCTCTGGGGCCGTTCTCGGGCTTCCCCCAGAGCTCCTTTTGGAAGACAGCCCGGGAAGCTCACTTTGGAATCGCCTTTGAGCCTTCCTGGGGCGTCTTTGGGGCTCAAGGGCTGTGTGGGGACTCCTTTTGGGGCCGTCTTGGATGGCACATGGGGCTCTTTGGGGGCCATCTTGGTGTCCTTGTGGGCCGTCCAAGGTCCCTTTCAGAAGCCTGAGCGGCAATGATTGGGCGATCTAGGAGGCGCTGGGAGCCGTGTGGAGCCGTTCTTGGGGCGAAACGAGAAGAATCTGAAACATCATTCAAAAACCAGGTCTACGATGTTGGCCTCGTGGGGCTGCATCATGGGTCCTCTTGGGCCGCTCCTGGCCTGTCTTGGGGCCGCCGTGGGCCATCATGAGGCTCTCTTCGGGCTCTCCAGGACCATCCGCGCGCTCCCCTGAGCGTCTCTGAGCCTCGGGTCGGGCGAAAGGGGGGGATAGCAAAGGGGAGGGTTGAGAATCAGCTCACGTAGCTGATTTTCCCGGCGCCTCCCGGTGCCAGAGGCGGCTATGTATCGAGGAATGGGCCCCTCGGTGAGGCCGAAATCAGCTGCATGCAGCAAATTTCGTGACCCCCCCTTTCCCAATCCCCCCCCCTTTCGTCCGGCCCGAGAGCCGTCGCTGGACGTCTTGGAGCCTCCCAGCGAGCGTCCGGGGCCATCCTGGACCGCCCCGGGACCACCCCGGGACCACGCCGGGAGCGGCCCCGGCCGGCTGCCACGGCGGCGCAGCCTCGCACGCACGGAGCCGAGCATGGTGATACGGTGGGTGTATTGGAGAAGGAACCTTCAGAGAAGGAATCCATAGGGGGCCACATGCGAACCCTACCCCTGCCCCCCACGATTTCTCAGGGGGAGGGTGGGGTTCACATCGCTCGGGAGCTCCCGAACGAAGTGAACCCCACCCTCCCCCTGAGAAATCGTGGGGGGTAAGGGTAGGGTTCGCATGTGGCCCCCTAATCCAGGGTCTGGAGGCCGGTGGAACGCCAATCGAACCCTGGCCATGGGTACCACCGCCGCCCTCAGGAAACAAGGAATCCTCCAGTGTCTGCAGCATCCTGGGCGCGTTCCGTAACCAACGCCCCCGCCGTATGGACCAGTGTGCACCGGGATGTTTTTTCGATACGGGGTCCCCGGAAGTCTCGACCCATCCCCCAGGACCAGTTCTGCATCCTGAGTCGTTTTTTGACGGTCCCGAGGCTCGGTAAGGGCCCCTGGAGGCCGAAAATAGCGAAAGACGCCCGTCGTGTTTTTTGTTCTTTTCAATACGTTCGATCTCTGGGGAGCAAGTCCGCAGGCGAGCGACGCGAGCCTTGCGCGATGTGCCTCGCGCGGTGGCTTTTGCGCTGGGGCCGCCGGCGCAGCCCGCCACGGGTGGAGACGAGGGCTCGCACGCGCGGCCTTGCGCGAGCAGCTTGCGCGCGAGTGTCGGCGCAGTTGAGCCCTCCTCTTCCTCCGTGGCCTCTTCCTCCTCCTCCTCCTCCTCCTCCTCCTCCTCCTCCTCCTCCTTCTCCTCCTCCAACTCCGTCCTCCTCCTCCTCCAACTCCGTTCTCCTCTTCCTCCTCCTCCTCCTCCTCCAACTCCGTTCTCCTCCTCCTCCTCCTCCTCCTCCTCCTCCTCCTCCTCCTCCTCCTCCAACTCCGTGATCCTCCTTCTCCTTCTCCTCCCTCCTCCCTCCTCCTCCTCCTCCTCCCTCCTCCCTCCTCCCTCCTCCTCCTCCTCCTCCTCCTCCTCCTCCTCCTCCTCCTCCCTCTTCCCTCCGATTTTTTCGTCGCTCAGGTGCCCTGGCAGGGGGAAGCGGCGGGGCCATATCTGGGCCATCTTGGGCCGTCTCGGGCGCCGCTTGGGCCGTCTTGGGGCTTTCTCTGAGCTGTCTTGCAGCTCGCGTGGGCCGGGTTGCAGCCCGACAGATGCTACAACAGGGGGGTGCGTTGTAGCATCCGTTGGGTGCCTCTTCGGGCTCTCTGGGATCGCTCTTGGGTCCGTCTTGGGATGCACCTAGGTCTCCAGTACGCCATCTCTGGGCCATCTTGGGTCGTCTTGGGCGCCTGCTGGGCCGTCTTGGAGCTTTGTTAGGCCGCCTTGGGCCGTCTTGGTCCCGTCTCGAGCCGCATTGGGATTCTCGTGGGGGGCCTCTTGGGCCGGCTCGGGGCGATCCTGGGGGATGTTGGACTGTCGTGGACGCCGCAAGGGGCCCCGCAGCCGCACATGTTTTTGAGCGAAGAAGAACCGACATGATACCTTAGAGTTGTTTTACACCAGGAGGCCCCTGCTAGGAGCGCTCTTGGAGCGATCCGGAGGCCTTTGGGAAGGCTCGGCCCCTTCGGCGGGCCCTCCCGGCGGACCCCCCGGCATTGCCAGGATCGGCTCCTCCCGCGCGCTGCTCCCGGCATGCTGGGATAGACAAGGGCCCGCGGCTTACCGGCCACGAAACCTGTCCGAGATGACAGAAGGAGGCAGGCACCCAGGCTCCATGGAGCGTCTGAACCTATTGTGCTGGGCCTGCGCTGAGCCTATCGCTTCTGCTCCACCTTGCCCTGGTGGGGACAAGTGTGGGGCCCCCTGGCGCCGCCTCCAAGCTGTGTGTGGGGGCCTCTGGGGGCTTCTTTTGGCCATCCGCCTTGGGCGCTGTTTGTGCCGTTTTGTTACCACCTGGGGCTTTCTGGAGCGCCTCTGGTGCGGGTAGGAGGCAACCTTGGGCCGTCCTGCGCCGTTCCTGGACACTTTTGGGGGGGCCTCCTGGGCCGTCTTGGGCGGCGCCTCTTGGGCCGTATTGGGGCCGTCTTGGGGTTTCAATAGGGCCTCTGGGAGTGGGGGGGGGGCCTCTAAGGCCTGCTGGAATGCTGGGAAGACGAAAACACTGGAGATGCAACACGCGCACGCTTCACGATTGGATGTTGACGACTTTGGCCTTTCAAGGCTAGCTAGGGGGCCCTTTTGGTTGGACCTCTCTTGGGGCATCTCGGGCTCCTTGTCTAAACCATCGTCGGACAAACTAAGGCCGTCTTTGGCGCGTCTTCGGGATCTGTTGGGCCGAATAAAGGGGGCGTGGCCCGAGGCCTGCAAGGTTGCCCCGGAGGCCTCTTGGGGCCACTCGGAATAAGAAACAGGCGATTGATGGACAGCACCTTCTGGCGCTCGCGGGCTCGTGCATTGTAGAAGAGATAACGTCGGGATCCAGTTTCACCTCCCACATCTCGCTCAGCAGCGCCAGCGCCCGCTGCCACTGTTCGCACTTCTCGCACGCGCTGATCCCAGCGCTGTGGCTGACTACTGCGCGCCCGAGGAAATCCACTGCAGGCACGTCGAAGCGTGGGCCCCGACCGCGCAGATGTGTTTGACGCAAGGAGAACAAGGAGAGGGAAAGCGGCACCAGAAAGACGGGGTAGAGGCACCCCGAGGAGGAGGAGGAGGAGGAGGAGGAGGAGGAGGGGGAGGAGGGAGGAGGAGGCGGAGGAGGAGGCGGAGAGGGAGGAGGAGGAGGAGGAGGAAGAGGAAAAGGAGGAGGAGGAGGAGGGGGAGGAGAAGGCGGAGGAGGACGACGAGGAAAACACACACCAAACGGGAAAAGGGTGTTGGGGTCAGGGGCTTTCTTTGGGGTGTCGTGGACATGTCCCCTGTCATCCCAATCGCCCGAGAGGGGGGGGGGGCGGCGACGCTTGCTGTTGTGTGCGGGAAGAAAACGAGAGAATGAGGGGCAAGAAGGCGAACACAATAATGCCAGCGACACTGGGGAGATGGGGTGTGGAAGCGTCAGAAAGGAACAGGCGGAAAAGGAGGAGGAGGAGGAGGAGGAGGAGGTGGAGGAACTTTGCATACGTATACGACCACCCTTCGGGTGATGAGGAAGGTGTGTGTGGGGGGGAGCACTGACGGATGACAACCGCGGTGATTGTGATGGTGACGATGCTTGTGATGCGTCCGTGCTGTTTTCGCCGAACGCAGTGCCCACGCCAATTGGTCACGGCAGTAGAAAACGCGCTCGGCATGATCCCACCTCTTGCAAAATGACCGAGAACAATGGTTTCGTGATTTCGTGAACTCAACTCAAGCTGGAAGCGAGCTACACAGCTCCAGAATTCTTTGCACCTGTCGTAGGTTATGACGCGTCAGCCTGTCGAATTCTCAGGTGCGTAGCTGCAGTATTACTATCAAAACACTTGGTGGAAACAACATGGCGCACTGGTCCGAGCCAGCGGCGGCGCCTGACGCACTGGCAGGGCCTGGTGCCGCCATCGCCTGCGCGTGGCTGCTCGCGGCGCCCGCCGCCGACTGGGTTGAGGAGGCAACGCCCGACAGAGTGGTAGAGTCTGGTGCCGTGTCTCCCGTGCGGGACACCATCGGAACACCAGCAGCAGCACACCGTCTGAAAACCATCGAGACACCGCGGGGCAAAACGGGACACCACGTGACACCAGCGGGACACCAGCGGGACACCATCGAGACACCCGCGAGATGCCACCAAGACACCATCGAAACACAATGGGGCCACCGCGGGACACCACGGGATACCATGGTACACCACAAAACGCCATGGGGACACCGCGGCGGACACTGCGGCCAGCACCGGACAACGGGGGGGGGTCGGTCCCTGGGCCCGGCGGCGCACTTGCCAGAGCAGGGTTCATTTCATGCGCCCGCCCGCGCAGCTTCGCCTCGCCCGCGCGCGCGACACGACCGCGAACGCGAAACTGAAACCGATTTTCCGGCAAGGGGGCCCCGTTTCACATTGCTTTCGCCCCCCCCACCTCCGATAACGAACACTCTTAACTTGAACAGCAGGACAAGGCCCAGCCCTGGGTGGCGCACGTACGACCACCTTCGCCACCTGAGCTGGGTCGGCAGCAGCATCGGCAGCGGCGGCAGGGCGGACGGAGGGAGAGGCGGGGCGGCGCCTGGTGCTGCCCAGCTCGGCGGCCGGCGCGTCGAACGCAGCCCGCCGCGTGGCGGCCGCGGCGCTCTGGCCCCTCCCTGGCCCGCCCTCAGTCTCCCTCCGCTCCTGCCTCTCGCGCGCCCAAACACGAACCCTGGCTAGAAGCCACGGCCGATTCTCGATTGGCTCTTTTGGCCAAACTTGGTGGCGCTGTGGCTACATGCGGGGGCCAGCTCACGAAACTGGCTCGTGCTATAACAACCGCAGACTAGACGCCGCAACGGGTCGCGGTCGGATCAGGAAGCAAACTGGCGCGAAGGACGCACCACCTTGGACCGAGCGCGCGCGAACCCCAAAGACAGCCCCCGACCAGGGCGCGCGCCGATGCAGGGCCAAAGAAAACGATGGCTCCCCGAGAACTGGCGCGGCAACCGCACTTCAGGCACTGGCCAAAATGCTCGCAGATCCGAAGGCAGGCGTGCTCGGACGCGGCGGCCGCTCTACGCAACTGCTCGGCGGCCGCGGGCTGCGCCCTGGCGCGAGGGGCGCGAGGCGACCTGCGACCTGCGACCTTCGTTCGACCAGGACGTTGGCAATCCGGCCCTGGACTTCGCGAGCGAAGGCGTCGGCGAGCCGAGCTGGCCCAGGCGCGGCGGAGAGCCCCCGAACGGGGGCGGCGACATGCCCGGCGATCTGGTCCGCCGCAGCATTCGCCAACATCGCGCCCAGTTTCAACCCTTGAATGAGGGCGCCCTGTACCTCGAGGTGGATTGGGATCTGGGCGCGAGCCGCGTTTCGGGAGGGCGCGGCATCTCTGGCCCTGTTTCAAAGATCGTGGTGGGACTGAACGTCCTGGAGGCATGCTTCGAGGCGACTAGCAACGCGGGCCACGCAGCCCGAGTCCGCGGCGCAGCCCGATTCGGCCCCGGCGGGGGGAGCTTCCAGGAATGGAGCCGAAGCCCGCGGCTCGCCTCGATGGAAGGACTGCTTACCTGATATCCCACCTCCCTTTGACAAGCTGACGCGCATTTCTGACACCAGGAGAAAGGCCGACGCAGCAGCTTCAAAAGCCGCAAGACCCTGCACCGCACGCCGTGGACGTGCGCCCTTCGAAAACTGACCTCCGCTCGAGTCTCCAGTGCCCCAAACGCGAGTCGCACCGCGGGGAACTCCACCGAGGCTTGGGAGATCGGGGCGCCGGGGGGCGGGGGGGGGCGCGGGCCCGCGGCCGGCGGGCGAGGCCGCAAAGCCAAGAAACGGCGGAACTCGGCGGCCGCGCTTGCCCCTGCCAAAGACCTCCGAAATCTGATGGCATCCGAAGACGCAATGCATTCCCAATGCCGATGGATGCCAGCTTTCTAGTTGCATCCGCGCCGCGGGCGCTCGGGGCCGCAATCGCCTCCAGAAGCAAGGGCGCGGGGTCGAGACCAGACCGACCGCCTTGGCGCCGAGCGGAGCAGCCCCCGCTTCTTCGCGCGCGCGCCCGACGCGCAAAGACTAACTACGCGGCGCCGCGCCACGGCTAGACCAGAACAATCAGATAATCATTATCCGTGCCAGAAGCTGGCAGTCGGCGCACAGACCTTAGACTCGATCCTACGCTCAGCTTCGCGCGCGAAGTCAGACGTCATATGAGCGCGGGACTGGAGCTCGCTGGGCAAAGCAAAAAACGCCACCTCCAGGGCCCCCCCGCCGCCGGGGCCACTCGAGCGCCCAAACCCGCGGGCGTCGCGGCGGGAACAGCCGCTGGCGCGGGCCCCCGAATACTACACTTTCCAATATGCACCATGGCTCCGATTCGCTCTTCGAGGTCTCTCCAGCGCCCACACATTCTGTCCGCCGTCGCAGCAAGCAAGGCAGCGGCGACTTGAAACCGGGACTATAAACGCAGAAAGACACTCGTTAACGCGGCAACACCATCCTGACCCTGCCAGCAGGGTAGCGAGGCACCTCCCCCGCCTCTCCCCGAGCGACGGCACCCGCGATAACTCGACGCCGCATCTGGCCAGCCGACGGCTCGACCCCAAAGACCACCCCGGCATGGGGGGCCTACCGCCAAGCCCCGCCAGGGATGCGACGCGCCCCGCTCTTCCTGAGCGCCCCGCCAGATGCGAGTTCGAAATGCGCGGCGCTGGGCCTGGCGGATGCGAGTGGAGCGGCGCGGCTCGGCCAAGGTCGCCCCGCTGCCGCGCTCGCGCCAGCGGCGGCAGACGCAGAGGAGGCAGCTTCAACCCAGGAGCCCCGCAGCTGGAATCTCGCGAGCGAACGAGAAATCCAAATAAATGGTCGCGGACTTGCAGGCAAACCGGAGCTTCTCCGTCGCGCAGCCCGCGGCAGCGACGGCGCCGGCAGAAACGAGTTCGCGGCAGAAGTCTCGCCCCAACCGCCCCGCGCGCTGCGCGACATCATCGATCAGCGCGCGGAGGGGGGCCAGTGGGGAGTAGGCGCACGCCTGCTGGCACATCAGACGCACGCGGCACTTCGAAAAGACGGGGGCCCTGCGAGCGCCGGCAGGGAGGCCCCCGCACGGAATGATGGGGGAATCAGATCACCGCCCTTCCCAAAACGCACGTGGCCCCGCGCGGCGAAACCCTTCGAGAGGACGGGGTGCCGCGGGAAATCGCGATCGATGGCGCGGGCCATGACCTCCCCCCTCTGACGGGACAGCAACCGGAGACAAAACTGACGCAGAACAGCAATCGGGCACGGGAGACGCCGAAGCGGCCTGGTCAGCGCAGCACCTCAGCAAAGCCTCCCGCGGAGCACCGCTGGGTCGCTCCGCAGCGCCCCGGGGCCCAGAACGGGCGGGCGCCCAGACGTCTGCGAGGCGAGCAAACTTCTAACGCGATTTGCTCGCACATCCGGTCTGCGAAGCAAGACAACTAACGCACTGAGGCGTTGCCAAGCCCAAACAGCCCGGGCCTCGATGGCACCCGGGAATTGCAGCGAGGCGAGACGGCCAGACCCAGGCAACCACGAGATGTCGCGCTGCCCCTTAGCCTCGACGCCTCTCGCGACACCCGGCGAAACGAAAGGCAGGGTCCTGTCGAGCTGCTCCAGGGTCAGGGGCTCTAGGTCGCCTGTGCGAGTCAGACGCCGCGCAGTGGCCAACGCGCCCATCACTTTCTGGTGATCGCACGTACCCTTCGGGTGACCGAGACTTGTATGCCTGAATTTTGACCTCCATCGCAGACGAAATCATACCGTCAAATCGTAATAAGCTGGCTTATGCCGCGCTGTCCTTGACACGTTTGCGAAGCGCTACGCGGCCTGTGGCCGCCTGCCGATGAAACCAGCCACGGGAGGCTAGAAAACTTTGTCGCGCCAACGCCCCGAGAGCTTGCTCCACCGCTCTCCCGGCGGCCCGCGCAAAAGTTTCGAATCAATGAAAGGTCGC